CTGTAGCCCCCCTCCCAGTGCCACCACTGCTGCCTGTCCTGAGCCCAGCAAATCTGGGGGGCACATGGCCCCCCAACATGCCCACCTGGGGTGTGTGCAGTGGAGGGAGCTCCATCCCGTGCCCTGCCCCACCCTGACTGGGCAACGCCTGCCCCTGCCCCCTCCCTCCTTCACTGCAGGGGGCATTGGTCTGCTCCCCCCAAACTTCTTCCCTGCTCCCTCCCCTTCCACCACAGCAGACTTACCAGTTGCATGTAGCTGTATCAGAAATCAGATCGGTATTGGGCAATATGCCTCCTTAAATATTGGCTATCAGTATTGGCCCCCAAAATCTCTATCAGTGTACCCCTATATCAAAAGGCAGATATGCTTGACTGAGAGAAAAGAAGTCAGAGCCCAGAGTAACCATGGCTATTTGCCTCCAGCTTGCTTGAGAGGTGTCAGAGCCAGTTTTACTGAAAGGATGACAGAAGCTTTAAGGGTTTGCAGTGGGAGGACTAACTACACCTGATTGGCCAGTTCTCACTGACTTTGTCTTTATGAGATGCTGACTCCACAGTTGTTACTGTGCATTCATTTAATACTTGCATATACAAGTACTAAATGACTGTGCAGTAACTGGAGTTACTGTGCAGTAGCGTCTCCAAATGGCTTCTTAGTGACACTGACTGCGCAGTAGCTTATGTCACTCTTCATGCTACGCAATGCTACTGCATAGTCAACATCTCATGTACACATGGCCACTTATGGTCCTGCTCAAGGCTAGTGCAGTCCTCATGTACAGTGAATGCCTGTATCCTCCTAGCAGCAACTGCATGTGGAAATTTGGGATGTGCTAGGGCTGCGTTGGGGAATGACCAGCAATGCTTTTCTGAGCAAGAGCCTTTTAGAGCTGAGCTCCACAGAAGTCTGAGGGGAAATTCCACAGTATAGCCCTGGCCCTGAAGCACCCCTGCAAGATGGAGAGCTTGGCATAGATAGCTCATCCATCATGTTATCATTATGGGGCACCCAGACCAGCCCTGACACATCAGTAAAGACTCTCCAGCCCCATCTGTGCTAGCACTCCCATGATTGCTAGCCCTGGTGCAGCTACACAAAGGTCAGAGCCATGGAGGGAGCTGTCTGGGATATCCTTAGAGCAGGCACAGCCTTGGAGCAACAAAGGGAGACATCTTTGTGAGAGGTTTGTGTTTTCAAAATGTGCTCCTGGCCTGCAAACCAGACCTTAGTTGCATGTTTTGGGAGGGGCAGGCTGTACCATACACTGGCATTCATGGGTGAGCCAGACCCTGGATTTAACCACAATACAGGTGGAGAGTGCTAGCACAAGTGACACATATGCATGAACACAGCACATATTTCCCTGCTGCCTCATGCTCACCTGTCTGTCCAGGTTTGTACATAGGTTTGTCTGTCTGGATGAAGGTCCTCTTTGCCACAAGCTTCACCAGGACTTTCTGTCTTTCCTGAAATGCTGAGCCAGCCCCCAGACCTGTGACTTCCACAGTGGCCACTTCCTCTGAGCCCTTGGCAGGGGCAGGGACCTGTAGACAGAGTCACAAACCAACCATCATGATGGGCACAGCCCTGGAAGCTTCAGTGGTGGTGGATGACTGCTTTACATTGCTCCCTCTGGGCACATCCAGATGAGCATGCACGTGTAGTTTGCAGTGCTGCAGCCCATCTGTGGCACGACAAACTGCATGTGCCACACATACAGGCATTTGCCAGATTGCCACTGCTGGATCCCTGGCAGGCCCCCCAGGACCCCAGGTAAGGCTGCTGGGGCCAGCCCAGGTGCTGACCCCAACCTCCCCTACCCCACCTGGGGCAACTTGCCATGCACCAGAGTGCACATGCAGGGGACAAGTAGCAGTGACACAGGTATGTGCTGCTGCTATTTGTCCCTGGGGAATGCATGTTCCTGTTCATGAGAATGCACGCTTTGAGGCCTCTCATTCTGGAGGATGCTGAATGCTTTTACAGCATCCTTACTAAGGAAAGCTAAAGAGAGGGCGGAAGTGCAGTAGGGTGGAACTAAAGGGAGGCTGGCAGGTTTGTGCAGGGAGCCTGGGTTGGGATACGAAGGGGGTGGAGGACAGAGCTGGGATGGTATGGCAGAGCTGTGGGGAAGCATGGGGAGGTTCAGTGCCTGAATAGTGCAAGCACATGGGAAACCTGAGCTATCCATGTGCACAACCTATGTTCATTCAGCAACAGGGCACCCTAGCTGGGGTCTGCCCCACTCAGAAGCCTGTTGCCGAAGCAGCAGCATGTGGTCTCTGTTCCTCACCTGAAAGCTTGCACAGTCGAAGAAGCTGGGCTGGGAAATAGACCGTACAATGAGCGTCTGATTCCTGGCTTCAGTTTGCAGGGTGACCACCACCTGGAAAGGGACCCCTGAGGCTCTCTTGACCTGGAGGCAGACAGTCTCTGAGGAGGGGTAGAAGAGTTGAGCTGGGATGGCCACTGCATAGTTCCTGCAAGACAGGCAAGCCCCAGCTGTGATGAGATGTGTTTCCTGCAGGGCTAAATTCCTGGGTAGCCCAGCATCCTGCCACACGGGACCCAGCAGCTGGACTGTGGCAAAGTCTGGATCTACTGGAAACAAGATGATCTCGGAAACCTCACACCTGAATCAGGGTTGGGCCTCCCCTTTCCATCACTGTTATATCAGTCATCTCCTTTTCCAGACCCCACAGCATCCCTGTGACCTGCTGCCTTGTATAAAAAGTCCCTCTTATAAACTCCATGACCTCTGAGTGACCAGCAAACACCACAGGTAACTTGCTGAGTAGCACAGTCTGTGTCTGTCCCCCATGCTCTGTCAGGGGCTCCGTGGGTTTCAAAAGCTCAGGATTTATAGTTTTCATCTATGCCTCTGGTGGAGGGGGTGAAGGACTGCTCAGAAATAATTGTGCCCTGGAATGCACCAGACCCTGTGAGTTGTTGGCAGCTCAAGCACATGCACACAGATTCTTGGCAGGATGAGTTCTGACTCGGATCCCATGCTGGCGGCCAAAGGCTTCCCAGCACTGGGGCAGCAGACAGAGCTGCAAGGGCAATGGGGACTGAAAAGCATCAGGGGAGGTTGCTTTCCCCATGGAGCCCCCTTTCCCACCTCCCCTGTCTTCTCCCCCTCCTCCCCCATAGTCCCAGGAGCTTCATAGCAGGCAGTCGCCCTTGCTCCAGCCCTGAAACACTGCCCACCGACCAACCTGCAGACAGGGAGCAACCTGGGTTCTTACAGTGTCGTGGATGCTTCAGCTGTGCAAGGCAGGAGGAGGAGGACACAGCTCCACTGGATAGCCACACTCAGCATATCTGCGTGCAGGCCGACCTGGTCCCCAGGGAGGAGTTCCTGCTGGTTACCCCTCCTTCTCTCCTGCCCCTGCTCCTCTTCTTCCGTCTGTCGGGCGCCTGCGTCTGGATCTTTGACTTTAAGCCAAAAGGTAACAATTTGGCTGTGTATGGCTGCCACAGGGATGTGGGCGGGTGGATGAAGCTGGACAGTATTTCCCCTCCCCAATGTCAGAGTCACTTGCTTCAAAGGGCTTGTGACTGCTTCTGTGGGAAGGTATCTGCTCTCTCATTGCCTCCTTGGATCCCCCTCCAAGGCAGCAGCCAACACCAACAGCGCCCGTGTGTTGTTATTGAGAGAGCTTCATGTCTGGAAAAGGACTTCATACTGAGAGGACTTTTATCATGACTTCGTTAGAAATGCAGGAAGGAAAATTTGTCCCTGAGGACTTTGCTGCCTTCCATGGATTTAGTCCAGGGTTCAGTTTGTTCCATGCAGTTTTTCATTCTTAGTGAAAAAAATGTAAGGGCCAGATGAGAGGAAATGAAAACTGAAAATATGAAAGGGGAGGCTTCTTGCATTAATGAGACAGCCCTGCCCAGCAGATCTCCCTGCTATCCCAGTCCTGGGCTCCTCACACAGCTCTGCTAGTGCTCGATCATCCCAACTGGAAGGAAAGAGGACATTTTACCACGTCACTGTTTTCTTTTCTACTTCCACTTGGTTTCAGGGGTGAATAGCAGAGTGGCCAGAGACAGACAGGAAGCCAAGGGGAAGATTTCTATAATAGGAGCAAAGGGCTGATAGCTGCCTCTCTCACTAGTTCAAGTTTGAACTTCAGTATTGCCTGAGTTTGTATAAAACAATACCAGGAGACAAACATTAGTGGCACAGTCACTGACCTGTGGCACATTTCCCCAGCATATTTATCTGGTGTAAAGGTTAGTGGGGAGGGTGGGGGGAGCTATTATATGAGATTGTGGGTTGGGAGAAGGGGTGCAGTACACCATCTCATACACATACCACACATAGTTTGCTATTTGAGTGAATCTAGGAAACTGATTTTATGAGGAAGAAGCAAATGGCATGGAGCCACTCCTCTTGGCCCTGGTGTCCTTAGAGCAAGGCCTGTGGCAGGGCCCTGCAGTGGAGGTGAGAGGGAAGGGTAGGGTGGAGCAGTACTGGTGCAGTCCTGGACACATGCATTGGACATGAAATGAAGCACCACTGAAAGCAGCATAGAAGGATGACAGGTGACGAGCAGAATAGGTCATGAGTGGATGTTTCTGAAGGCAGCTCTTCTGTATTGTGCGAGGGGCGGGTTGTCAGGCAGGTGAATGGATAACGGCTGCATGAGATGCCAACACACTGTGATGGGGCTGACAACAGGCCGGTGCACAGCTGGGATAGTGCAGCAAGGGGCCCTAGCAAAGGCACTACAAGCTGATTCCTCTTGCAGTTCCTGCTTCATCTGTGTTACAGCTCCTGGGCCCCACAGCTCAGCCATAGAGCCATTTCACACATGCTGGGGTGCTGTGGTCACAGGCCCAATCCCAAGTGGGGGCAGGGGACCTGCCTTTACCCAGTAACAGGGGCAGGGTTAGGGGTGAGGCAGGGGTAACCATGTGGCCTTTACCCAGCAACTGGTGGAGACAGGTAAATATTGGCTGTGTCATTAGCCTAGGGGAGATGAGGTCCTGATGTCTCATATTGAATACACCCTTTGGACTCTGGAGTCTCTGAAGGACTGTTTAGAACTCAGCTGGATGTTCAGGATTCAGGCTTGGATCTAGCTAGGTATCTTCCAGTTCAAGCAATGGGGATAGTGATGCTGCTCTGGGCCCTGGCTCTGCTCCCAATCGTAGCTCCAGAGACTCTCAACCCGTAAGACTCTTTGCTTCTTTTTGAGGGGACTAAGTGAATGGGTGGGTCACTGAGGGGAGAAAGGGCTGTAGTGCCCAGAATCACAGCAATTAAGCTCTGGGGTCCTCACTGTCCAAGATGCTCAGCACCTGAAGTTCCCACTGACTCTAGCTAGGGCTGTGGGTGTCTAGTATCCTTGCAGAAAAGACCCCCTGATATTTTCCAGTGCTGAGGGACAGGGCAGAGATACACAGGCTTCGGCTGGGTTCATCTCCTGTGGAGGGGGGTGAAATTCAATCTGTAGCCCCAGGGATTTTCCCCCCAGGTATAGCGTTCTCATTCCAGCGCTGGCCTAGGCTGGCCCTGCCCATCTCCTAGGAATGGGACAAGTCTGCTCCTTGGTGGTGTGCAGTGCCCTGACCCCTCCCAGGGAATGTTGTCTCCTCCTGCAGTGAGATGCAGATTGCATCACAGGCCCCTCCACTCATGGTCTAGAGCTCTTTGGTAGCCCATACTCTCTTTCTTCAAGAGAGCAGTGGAGAGAGACACCCCCTGACCTGCCCCTGCACCACAGACCCTGAACACCCCATCCCCATCTTCTCTTTTCTCCTAGGCAGTATGTGGTAGTGATTCCAGCCATCATTCACCATCCCAGCCAAGAGAAGTTCTGCATCCACCTCAGCTGTCTCCCTGAGACAGTCCACCTGGCAATCACCCTGGAGATGAAAATCCAGAATCACACCCTGGTGGAGAAAGACGTGGAGAAGCCAGGCATCTTTGAGTGCATCAGCTTTCAGGTGAACCCAGGAGCTGTGGCTGCTGCAGTAGACAGCACTCTCACCTTCAAGTCCAATATGAACCTAGCAACCCTTCCTGCCCTGGGTGTATTGGTTGTACTCTGTGCTACTGCATGTGACAGTCCCTGCAGTGTGCTCTGTCCACACAGGTGCAATCCCTACCCAACATCTCCTGGCAGAACCTGCTGCAGTCAAACAGGTTGGAAAACATGTCCACTGCCTGAGCCAAGACTTACTCCAGGGTTGCATTTCAGGACTTTAAATCATTCTTAATTCCAGGTAGAAGACCCCAGCCCTTTTCTTCCTGGGCATTTACAGAGTTCAGATTACTGCAGGGCATTGTGTCTGGCTGATAGATATAAATGAAATCCTGCTAATCTGTCCTTATGAGTTTTAGAGCAGGGGTAAGCAACCTATAGCCTGTGAAGAGATTGGAGCCAGGCTATGCTGGTCTGATCCAGCCTATAGCGCCCAGAATTGGAGGCCCCTCCACCCTTATGCCCCCCTCTCTCACCTCCATGTACAGAGGTGCTGCTTCTCTGGGGGACATGTCAATATGACCAGGAGCCCCTCCTACTACAGCTCCTGACTTTCTGCTGAACTTAGAGCAATTAGCAAAACTCAGCAATAGTGATAAGCAGTAACAGCAGTAGGAGGTAGGGTTGCCAACCCTGCAGGATTGCCCTGGAGTCTCCAGGAATTAGATATAAATCTCCAGGAGACTGCTGAGAGTCACCTGGGAGATAAATGATAGGACATTCATGAAAATAAATATTAAAATGTTGAATCTGATTTATACAGTAGTCCAGTGGGTTTTAAAAATGTAATAGTAAAGTGCATTTGCCTTCCTGATGTAATGATTCACTAATCTAATTATGTCATGTAATGAAACCTCCCATAATAGATTAAACAGAGTTGGCAGCCCTAGTAGGAAGGGACATTAGAGGGTGTTTACGTCCAGTGGCTGCTCTGCTAGTCCCCTAGCTGATGGTCATGTTATGCCTCTGTTGGAAGCATGCCAGTTGGGGGGTGGGGGTGGTGATCAGCTGTCTATGATGGTAGCTGGGTGGCAAGCAGTGGCCTGCAGTTGGTAAAAGGTTGTTTTAATGCACTGTTCTCAGGGCATGGAGAGAAGTGATGCTTATAACAGCCTAAACACACTTTAAACTTCAAGGGTGCCTATACACGTGCAAGGCAGGCATTTCCAAAGGTGCTGTAACATTTGTGCTTTGCTTAACATGCTTTAGGTACAGCACCTTAAAATGTAATAGTTTTGTGTCTTACAGTATTTCTGTAGAGTAGGAGGCACGGGGTGCCAGATGCTGCACAATGCAGCCTGAGGCCACCGGGAAGCCCCAGTTCAATACATGTGTAATAGAGGTGAACTAGGTAGGCTGAGATGTGCTACTACACTTCATCTTACATTTAAAACATATACAATGGGGTTTAATTAAGGTGGCTTCCACCATTTTTTTAAATGTTCTAATCACCCATGTGTATTACGTGATGGCTTTAAAATACTTTAAATGGTGAAAATCATCATGTGTATAGGCACCCCAAGAGCCTAGATGTACACACCCCTTTAGACCATTTTAAACTTCCTGGAACACTTCAAAAGCACACCAGGAAAATCAAGTACTGTTTTGAGTTGGTCCTTCATGAACCAGTTCAATGTTACGTGCAGACACAGTGCAGTCCCTGCTTAGTGTCTTGTCAGTCCTCCAGGTGTCCCAAACTATGCCACTCCTCGTCCCCCACCAACCCATGCAGGGCAATGGTGTTGCTCTGGGATACAACCAGAAGTCTGCTTCTTAAAGAGGTATTGCTTACCTAGAGTATACTCTGCAGGGGTGGGGAAACAGAAAGCCTCCCTGTCAGTTTGTCTTTCCTGCTAGGGGACCCTCAGTGGGGGTGTCTGGCTCATTTGGGGTGGGGGAGGGGTAGCCAGTTACTTGCAGTGGGGAGGGAGGCTTTGGGGCTCCATGCTTCTAGTGGGCGGTTGTGCCTGTAACAGTAAGCACCTGTCTATTCCTGGGTGGGAGAGGCAGAGAACAGGACTATTGCACAAGGGGCACTAACTAGAAGGGAATGGCTATCAATTCCATGCTCAATGTGAAGTGAATTAGTCTGTTAATTGTTCCCTGCCCTCTGTGCTGCACTCTTGCAGCCAGCCCTGCCCTGATGGTTCCACCCTGTACACATCTCTATATGCAGCTGCTGGTGCCTTTCTGAGTCAGAGACCATGGGACGTCCCAAAGCAATCAGCCCTTGGAATGAAGAAAGAGGGGCCTCCAACTCCCCACCCCCACCCAAGTACACACATGCACACACACACCTGGTGTCTGGGTACACACCTGT